TTATCGTAATCTTAATCCTGAAAGAGTTGCTGAGCATTGGTGGACTCCTCCATAAAATTATCTTTATGCCATAGTTTTCTCTGCAGGCGGGTTGAAAACCACAGTGTCTTAATTACTTTCAGTTGTGATAAATTTTGTATGACTTTCAATTGTTATCAAGTCGGTACTGCTGCCTATTTCCGGTTTTAATGTCCCATTGTTGTCTTTTACGACATCCACGATATGATATGGCGTAGTGGATATTTTCACGTTGCCACAACCCTAAATGAGTATATTAATTTAATTTAAGATCTTTTTGCTGTAAATACATTTGATAATAAACGTAAATCAAAATAAATTAAGTGTCATAAATATTCATATTTATCGTAATTATGATATTTTTTTACTTCGCTTTAAATTGGCTACAACTACTATAACTTTATTTAAATTTGTAAATTGATTATTTAGTCATAAAAAAAAGGAATTTCTCCATATATATATTATAAGTTTAAAATACCTTTCAAAACCTATGTATTATTTTTAGTAAATATTGTTTTCATTTGCTGAATATATATACACCTACGTGGGAGAGCTATGCTGCAGCTATATTATGGTTGTAGCACGAATGGGTCGGCTCGAACGGGGAAGGACCACGCTCTTACAGAAAACCAGCGTAAAATAGCAGCTTAACGCTGCTGTGTTACGTATGGTGAGTGTAGAGAACCGGAGACCCTTTTTACTGGCAAACAGGCATTCCATCTTAGTCCTCACGGGTGACACCGCATCTGCATCTTGAGTCTTTATTGAGGATAGATGTAGATGTCTATGGGTCATAGTAACCACTTACCATCAGGTGGATTGTGTGCTCGTTTGTCACCCGATCCTATAAAAAAAAATAGTTTCAGTTGGTAACAAAAATCAAAGTTATTATTATTTTACTGTTATTGTCACATATATATGAAAATTTTTTTTTTTTTTTATAGGATAAGGGTGACAAACGAGCACACAGTCCACCTGATGGTAAGTGGTTGCTGCGGCCCATAGACATCTACATATATCCTCTGTTACAAATCAAAATGCAGATGCGTTGTCACCCGTGAGGACTAAGATGGAATGCCTCATTTCCAGTAAAAAGGGCCTCCGGCCACCTGCACTCACCAAGCGAAACGCAGAGGCAAACCTCTACTTCACGCTGGTTTTCTGTGAGGTCGTGGTACTACCCCGGTTCGAGCCGGCCCATCCGTGCGACAGCAAAAGCTGCCGCGTGGCTCTACCACTGTTACAACAAAATATTTTATACTAACATTTAAAGTTATTAACCTATTGCTAAATGACATAAAAACGAATAGAATCCCATAAGCTTAATGTCTAAAAAACTTCTACTTGTCATCATATTCCTTCTTTCATTTTGAGAAGGTGACAGAGGATGTAGAAGAACACGAAAAAATTTCCATTGTTTTTCTGTCTGCCAAAATGAGTGAATCTAACGAAGAAATTCGATACATTCTAAAGTTTTAAGGGGTGGGCCTTTTAAGATTTGGAATTTGAATCGGATATAAAAAAAACTAGTGAATATTTTTTCAAAGTTTTATTAGAAAGTTTGAATATTCCATTTAGAAATGGATGACGAAATCATTCAAATGACTGCCACGACTAGCCTTGCAACACCCCTATTCGATCAGACCTATTATCAGTATATCTTCGATTATTTGGGCCTCTCTTTCGTACTCTGTGTACTCATTTGCGATTCTCTATTGAAACATAATGAAACCGAACAATTTTTTAAAAGATTGATCACCTACGAAAAGAACGTACGAACAAGATGGTCATGGTCAAAGGGTATTCAAACTCCACATACTGTAGCGAAACCCGGATTAACATGCAATAAGGTGATGCTGTGTGTATGGTGGGATTGGAAAAGCATCGTTTATTATGTTAGCTGTTACCGCTGGGCATAAGCAGCTATTCGCATCTCTATTGTTAACAAATAATGAGACTAAATAAAGAAATTGAGAAAAAACTGCCGGAATTGATCAACAGAAAAGGAGTGGCCTTTCATCATGATAACGTCAGACCACACACATCTTTGGCCACTCAGCAAAAATTGAGAGAGCTTGCTTGGAAAGTGTTAATGCATCCACTATGTAGTTTTGACCTTCAACCCTCAGATTTTGACCTATATCGTTCTCTTCAAAAGTCTTTGGGTAGTGTCAGGTTAACATCAAGAGAATACTGTCAAAACTACTTGTCGCATTTTTTTTATCAAAAGTCCCAAGATTTCTACAGCAACGGGATTATGTCACTAACTACAAGATGGCAACAAGTTATCGAACAAAATTTCACATATATATATATATATTATAATTAAATGTAATTAAATTTTGAAAAATAAAATGTCTTGAATTTGTATATAAAATACGAAGAAACTTTTTCCCCGACCTTTTATAAATAAAGTTCAATATCAAATCCGCAATAAAGGGCTTTTAACGTTTTAACATTTTTTTAGTATTTTAATGACATGGAACACATGGAATAAATAGACATTTCTATTATATTAAAAATCGCCCGTGATTGCAAAAGTTAACACAAATAAAACTTTTTGGTTTCAAAGTTTTAAATTCAAATTGTAATATTCTATGAATAATGATGAGTAGTTAGATATATACTGAGATAGTTGGAAGACAAAATTGCATGGTGATCCCTTCTGAATACAGATGGATATATTATGGAAATAAGCTTGTATCAAATGTTTAGATAAGTGACGATCGTATGTGTAATATATAAGGTCTACGTCGTACCACATTGCAGTGAAAATTAAATGAAAAACCTCGAACTGGAAGAACAGTGAGAACCATAAAATAGTAATAATGTTACTATAATTTTTATAGAAAAAACCTGTAATAAATCATTTGAACAATCGCTCGCTATAGGGAATGAAAATCCCAAGCAAACGTATTCGAACAGTTTTGTTACAATCCTCGGCAAACATCTAAGGCGGCAACATCGAGTTAGAGCGACGACGCTGGCAACATCACGGGTCTTACTCCTATCCTAGTACGGCGTGTTTATTCTGCCGCGTATATCGACCCGTCCCGCGGGCACGCGCCACCTAGCCAGTCGTCGTCGCCGCACGGATCGCGCCGCGCGACTCTTTACGCACCGTTGACACCACCGATCACAACCTAGCACAACAAATCGGACTTCAACTAAAACGTTACTAATTTACTATAACTTGATGCTCCTAATCACCGTTAACGTCAGTGTTTTATTTAACCTTGAACGTGACTGTGAACAAACGATTGACAGATTTGTTGTGTCGCCGAAGTGCTGCTAATGCTGCGCTGCATTTCGTTTGGTGGATGTCAAAGCGGTAAGAAGTAGTAAAAAAATAACGACGTAAAAATAAAATACCTTAATACGTATACATTGGTACCTATCAAATAATTTTATGTGGTTTTTCGACAAAGTTTAGCATAAAAATACGTAGGGCAAATATTGTTAACATATGATATGATGTAATTTAAAAATATATAAACTTGGTATTTCAAAATATATGTAAATTCCTTTAAACGTCGTTAAAATTATTGATGACAATAAATATTACAAACATTTGTGCATAGGTGAATGAAAAAACATTGAAACTGCATTCAGGCTAATTTGTACCGCCTACGTCGTAGCAGACGTAGCCTTTTCGCGCGTAGCAATTTGTGTCATAATTATTTAGTGAAGTCCCTTGACGCTTGATGGAATCGACTTAAACTTTTTATCGGTCTAACGCCGATATTTATTAAATTTAAACAAGCTGCTTTTAAAATATAATTAATGTTGTATACGTAAGCATGCGATCAGTTTCAATTATTTACACAAATTTACTACATTTGCCAGTCCGCTTTTCTTTGAGGCTTTCTAAAGAAACTGTTTAATTATTATTCGATATTCCAATAAGATTCATTAGATAGCAAAATTATGATTGTTAGCGTTCACGCGAAGATTAAATTTGCATTATTTATGCACTTTTATTTCAACTATAAATCTTTCCACGCACGCAAGTGTGTATAACGAAATATATTTAATACGTTCTATCCGTCCGATTTTCGGAGACTTGTTTGAGAAGCATACTCTCCAAAAGTTGAAGATGCCTTCCATGTTTTGTAGGACGTCTTCAGAATTTGAACATGTAGTCTCACTGCTGGCCGTATGAGGAAGCTCAAGGTCACTCCGCGACCTATAAAGAGGGCTGTACTCGGGCTTTATCTGCGTGATAATTTATTTTTTATTTTATTTTATATACAATGTGTTAATTTTACACTTGATCAAACGAAATGTGCGGATACTAGATAAAAAATTATCGGTAAAAAATCGAAAAAAATTTTTTTTATGTAAACTGTTTAAAAAATAAAAGCATTTGAATTTTTTTTTTGTTAAAATTCCCATCCTTCGGTTTTAAATTATTTTCTCTTTAAGTAAACGGTGTATTTTTTTCAAAGTAGTTTTATTTGGAAGTTAGAAAGATTAACTAGCAACAAAAATTAAAAAAACCTACGATATCAAGCAGGAAATTTGTCAAAAAAATAATAATATAATTTTTTTTGTTAAAAAAATACTTTTCTTTTTAATTTTTGGTCTGTAACTTCAAAACTAGTACATTGAGATAACCTTTTTAGCATGTTTTATTAAACTACGTAGCTTATTGTACAAGTTCTCCAAAATAACATGCGTTCTATCTCTTTTCATTTTTAAAATAATAATCATCAAAGAATGCCATCGGTATGTTGATTTGCGCTTATGCGCCCCACCTACCTCTAATTTGAACACCCCTGGTCGAACAATAGCAGGTAAAGATAAAAAGAGATAGATCAATGAAAGGCGAAACAAGTGAGTGAGAGAGTGAATTGTCGTTTGAATGAAATTTGGGTCTCGTTCTCGTAAGGCATGCAGGCAGCTTTAGCTATTTTAAACAGTTCATCTTGTAACGTTACCTAATTTGCACGTTGAATACGCTCACCATTTTTTTCGTCGTTATGCCTTCTACGATAGACTCATTGTCTGCTCGTGAAGTAGCTGACATTCATTACATTTACGGGTTTTGTGATGGCAACGCTCACGCCGCCTCTCGAGAGTATCATCAGCGATTCCCGACAAGACCTGCCGTTGACTACAGGGTTTTCTTAGCAGTACATCGAGAATTAAGTGAAAATGGACTGCATCGCCCACATCGTGAACGTGCTTCTACTGTACCGGTGGATGTGGATGAACAAGTGTTGCGTTTGGTGTACCAAGACCCCACAATTAGTACTCGACGAATAGCACTCCAATTGGGGATTAATCACGTCCAAGTGTGGAAAATTTTGAAAAAGGAATGTTTGTACCCTTTTTATTTTCGAAGAGTGCAGAATTTGCACGAGCCAGATTACGTCGGAAGAAGTGTTTTCTGTTCGTGGCTATTGCGGCAAAGACGATTAGTCCCGAAATTCTGTGACCGTATTTTGTGGACCGATGAGGCAAATTTTAACAGAACTGGAATCACAAATTTTCGAAACCTTCACTTGTGGATGCCGGAGGAAAAAAATCCCTTAGCAGTTCGGCCAGCGTCCTTTCAAATCGAATTTTCGATTAATGTTTGGGCTGGAATGATAAGTGATTACTTAATCGGACCATTTATTCTTCCGTCAAGGTTGACAGGCCCAGCTTACCTAACATTTCTACAAGAAGAGTTACCTGACCTGATGAGTGATGTGGATCTACAAACAAAGAGGAAGATGTGGTTTCAGCATGACGGCGCTCCAGCTCACTTCAGCACCATCGTGCGTGATTATTTAAACGAACTATACGGAGACAGATGGATTGGACGAGGCGGACCAGTAGCGTGGCCGGCACGAAGCCCTGATATGACCCCCCTAGATTTTTTTTTGTGGGGCCACATGAAACAGATTGTGTACAGTACTCCAATTAGTACAAGAGAAGAATTGTTACAAAAAGTAATGGCTGCGGCTAGTCAAATAAAAGAAAATCGTACTGTATTAAAAAAAACAGTACGCAGTGTGGCATTACGTACAACTGTATGTATGGATGAAAATGGTGGTCATTTTGAAAATTTAATAAATTAAATCATTTTTCTACGGTTTCTTTTGTTTTATTCCATAATTTTGACAATTAAATCATTATTAAATCACTTTTGAATTTTGTGCTCAGATTACCTACCTTATTTTTAGTGATTATCTTAACAACGAAAAAAGATAGAACGCATGTTATTTTAGAGAACTTATACAGTAAGCTACGTAGTTTAATAAAACATGCTAAAAAGGTTATCTCAACGTACTAGTTTTGAAGTTACAGACCAAAAATTAAAAAGAAAAGTATTTTTTTAACAAAAAAAATTATCTTATTATTTTTTTGACAAATTTCCTGCTTGATATCGTAGGTTTTTTTTAATTTTTATTGCTAGTTAATCTTTCTAACTTTCAAATAAAACTACTTTGAAAAAAATACACCGTTTACTTAAAGAGAAAATAATTTAAAACCGAAGGATGGGAATTTTAACAAAAACAAAATTCAAATGCTTTTATTTTTTAAACAGTTTACATAAAAAATATTTTTTTTTGATTTTTTACCGATAATTTTTTATCTAGTATCCGCACATTTCGTTTGATCAAGTGTAAAATTAACACATTGTATATATATATATATATATATATATATATATATATATATATATATATATATATATATATATATAATCGCACTAGAACCAAAGTACTGGTTATTACCGACATAGCCCAATGGATAAGTAAGCTGAAGTGGCGATGGGCCGGCCATATAATAATAATAATAAATTTATTAATTGAATAAAACCATATTGACACTACAAAATTAAAGCCCTGACTCCCGAACTAGCAATAGCTGTGTCCACAAAGTTACAATTACAAAATGACTTATCAGCGTATCACAAATCAGAACAAGGTAACAAAATGTATAAAGATTTTACAAATTAAAGAAAAATAAAAAAATAAAATATGCATGCGTATGTGTGTTGCATCTATGATGCGTACATGTTGTGCGTGTGTAACAAGATAGTGGCACCCCACTAGATAGTGGATGCAGGTGGCTCAGGACCGTGCTTTGATACATTCCTTGAAGGAAGGAAGGAAGCCTATGTTCAGCAATGGACTTGTAACAATGGGCTGTAATGATAAGGATATCAGGCCTTACTACAAAGGAACTTATTCATAAATCGGGTTTATTGTAAAAGGAAAATTTTAAGAGGATTATTGTCAGTTTTAACCTATGGATATCAATAGTTATGTTTTTTAATAAGACCGATCACGTTTAGTGTAGTCCTTAAATCTTGGATATCTTTTGACATTTAGTCAACATTCTAGCCAAAAAGGGTCTCTTTACATGAAAAAGATGCTCCAACCGCTACTAACGCAGTGTACATAACGCAGTGTTGGTACCAACTTTGTTATATGGCAGCGAAACCTGGGTATGCCAGAAGAAACTTAAAAGCAAGTTGAATGCAGTAGAGATGCGATCTCTTCGTAAAATGTGCGGCGTTACCATAGCCGACCGAAAGCGAAACGAAGAGATTCGCAATATGGCAGGTTTAAAAGATGACCTTATCACAAAAATTGATAAGGGCGTGCTTCGATGGTTTGGGCACGTTGAGCGAATGAGTGAAGACCGAATGGTGAAGAAAATATATAGCGCGAAAGTTAATATTAAAAGGTGTCGAGGTAGACCGAGACTAACTTTCGAAGACCATGTGAGCAAATTGCTCGAAGAGGGGAGTGTCAAGAGTACTCGGATACCTATACGTGCATGTATGAAGAAGATAATGAATCTGAAAGAAGCGAAGGAGGTATATAAGGATCGAGACACTTAGCGATCTGTTCTCTGAAGATAAGTAAGTAAAATGTAAGGCCTCATTTCCAATAAAAAGGGTCCCCGGTTCTTCACATACGAAACATAGTAGCATTAAGCTGCTATTTTACGTTGACATTCTGCGAAAGTATGGTCCTACCCTGAACGTGCCAACCCATTCATACTACAACCATAATATAGCTGTAGCTTAGATTTGCCACATAAAACATTCATAATACGATAAGTTCCTACAATTATATAATGACATGATTTTTTTAATTCCAGACGAATTGTCTATTAAAAACGGGCGCAGGATTTGACACCCAGCGGAAGCCAACATTTATAAGCAAATTGTTACTTTTCAACTCTCGACGTTAGTGATTAAGGACAATTTTACAGTACGTAAAATTGTCCTCAATCACTAACACCGTAGCCTATCTCCGGTAATACAGCACATCATCTTCTTCACTAGAAATGTTCCCGTGAGGTAGAGTAGTTTTAGTTCTGAACATTTATTTGTAGGTGAAATTGTTGTTCCATGTTAGAATTGAGTTGCGATCCTCATCGCCGGATCCAAACTGCTATCCACTGCGTTATCGATCTGTCACTTCTGCTTTCGAGTTTACAAGTATTTGTGAGTTTGTGACACTAGTGTTTATGGCAAACTTCTGCTTGAAATTCTTACCGTGGCTGAAGTCGGTCAAGAGGACATTATTTAATTTAAGATTAAGAAATATGTTACATTATTTTACTTTATGCAATAGTACGTATTACTCATTAACCAAAATTAACAAGATATTTTTGGCTTTTAATGTCCGAACTTTCCAAATGTCCAATCATTATTTTCTATATAGATCCAATTATACTTTAAAAACTTTCAATTACAAATTCTATTTAAGTTCTAAAGCTTTATTTGTCATAAAATTGACAAATAATAACGTGCGAACAAGGCTAACCAGTTCAAATAAAATGGTAAACTAACGTGTTTACAGCGGGACTTCTTTGACCTGACCTTGATTTTAATTTGAACTGCATTTACCATTTAAACTTGCTGATATTTTACTCCCTTAATTTTTTAGATTGAATCACGTTAAAAAATTACATGTATTTTTCAACTTTCCTGAAGTGTTCAATGTCACAAAAGCTTTTCTACTTATTTTAACAACGCAATTTGAATCCTTAACACTTTTTGTTGTTTATGTAACCAGAATTACAATAACACTAAACTAAACAGTTAACTGTCTTTCCTAAACGTATTCATTAAACTGTAACAGTGTTTACACTCAGGGTCCTTAAATGTGTTTTTACCGTAGCTTTAGAGGCAATAACTTATGACCTGTCACCGAGTTGTCGGCTTGATGTATATTGTTTAATAAAAGTACGGAACTACAACAAATATATTATTCGGATGTCGGTTTTCAGTTTGCAAGTCGTTACTTCCAAAGAGGATAAATTACTCTTAACCATTTTGCACTTTGTGACAGTTGTGTACCAAGTATTTGTCATATAATTTATGATATCTGAATTTAGCTTTGCAAAGAACATATTTATGGTATAATAAAGAAACTGGTTCTGTTTAAAAAGATGATTTATCATTTATAGTTATTTTTAAGTTACTTAATAAGTTCTTATATTTACGTGAAAACTACACGTTGAAAAAAACTAATTTTACGGATTTTATCGCGTTAAATGTACTTATTTTTAATTCCCGACATTTCGGCTGCTTTACAGCACCCATGGTCACGAAGGGACTGAGGTGTTTGACGTCCCGTTGTTATAGTTTGCCCAATTACCTTCAGTTTTTGAATATTAAAAAAACTAAATTGATAACTAGTATTCAAAAACTAAAGATAGCCGCGCTAACTAAGACATCGGGATGTCAAGCACCTCGGTCCTCTCGTAACCATGTATGCTGTTAAGCACAAGCTGTAAAGCAGCAGTTTATTTTAACCAGCTAGACACAGCGTTAAAGCAAAATACCATTAACTAATGGAATAGCCAGATCTGCGGACCGACATTGTTGTCTCCCAGAAAAACCAGTTGCGTAGTAGTGTGCCGATTAAGACCAGCAACAAATACATCACTTAGGGTTTCAAGGTTTTTAGGCTTTGCTGTCTCTTGGTAACCAATATATGATCTATCAAGCTATAAGAGCATCATCAGAACCTGTAACAAAAAATGTAGGCTTTTGTTCATTTTGTTCATGAATCTCTTCATACATAATTCGTCTATTCTCTTCAATTAATTATTTCAGTGCTAGCATGTTTCCTTCCATAACAGCATGGTGACCACTTCTTTCTAAACTTTCACAGTAAGTCGACTGTGCTGAAGTTTATTATAACTGCGGTACACAGTTTGCTTAAGAAAGGCTATTATCTATAATTACTATTTAAAATCTATGGAAACGATTCGTGTGGTTTGAGGCGACATTTGAAATCGTAAGAAATCTTCGAAAATGTCCAAACACAGATCCAATTTTCATTGAAACACAATATCTTAATTTAACTTTAAACATATTATGTAGAGAAAAATATGAAATTTGAATATTTTTCTTTTTCTTGTAAATAATCGTATTTTGAAAATAAATTATATCTGGCCAGTGTCTTATTTTTTGCGGCCTGTCGTATAGTGAATCGATGAATTCTAATGACACAGGACGGTGCTTAGTGTGGTAGAGAGTAATTGTGTTCTGTGGTGGCAATCTATCTGGGATCCAGCATTAACCATCACGGATTTCTAAGTGAATGTATATATATATATTACAGCAACCATGTAATGATCGTACTTCATAAAAATCAATTACCACTGTTTTGCGTCTGTCATTACGTGCAATTGTCTTGCATGCAAACTTGACGCCATCCAAAACCCTGAGCAAACTGTTTATATAAAAATCTTTCTTTATTTGAACACATATTATATACCCTATATAAAATAACCCTGGGAATAAGGTGATCGCCACCATGCTGGTTCTATGAAAATTCATTTAAAAATTGTATAATCAAAATTATTGTTAAGTGAAATATGTGTAAAAAAAAGTCCCGCTGGATTTCTTGCAGGTTCTTCCCAGGACGGAGGTTTTTTTCGAACCAGTGGTAAATAAAAAATTACTTTCAATAAGTATTATGTAATAATCAATATTGAATAAAAATCATTATATTCTATTCTATTCTATTCCCTTAAGTAAATTGAACAGGTAACCAAATAGCTTATCTTGTACATAGTATAATGTTTACGAAAAGTATTCATT